ACAAAGGGGGCCGGGCCGGAGCCGCCCCGCGGCGAAATCCTCCTGGTTGCTGGGCCCCGGCGCCGTCGGAAGCCGGGTGGGAGGGTGGAAAGGCAGCGCGGAGGCTCCTCCTGGCTGCCCGCAGCTCTTGGCACTCATTCCTAAAAAATAAAAAAAATCCTAAAGTTCACCTTTTGCTCGGCGGAGATGCGGCCTCCCTTCTTCGCGGCAGTGGGTCTGGCCTCTAGAAAGGAGGAGCTCTCTAAGCACACCTGAATTTACATGGTAGTGAATTTGATCGATTCGAGAAGGGCAGGAGGAGTTGGAGGCGCGTCCTGGAAAAAAAAGGCGAGACCCCCAGTTACCAGGGATTTTCTGGGGAATACAGCAAAGAGAAAGCACCTGCAGCCGTGGAAACTCATTCATTCAAAGCAAGGAAGGGGGGGCTGAGCTGGTAATCACCACTGGTCCCTCACCACCTCTCTGCTGCTAACCCAGGGCCATACCTGGGCTGATGTTAGACAGAGATGTAATGGTGCAGGGTCGTATCAAGTGCCTATCCCTTGAGATTGCATCTTTAATTCGGACAGGAGTGGAAGTGCTTCATACAAGGGCCACAACTCCATCCAGTGTGCTTTACAAGCTCTATAGACACCCCACGTCGCCCAGTGGGCAGTGATTTTGTACATCAGATGCTTACAGTGGAAGGCCGTGGAGTAAGAGAGGGGGGTCCCAGCTGGCAACTGGCCTGAAATTTGGTGCTGTGACTCTGCATGGGCCCAGGAATGCACAGCGGAGACACAAGTAGCAAAGCAGAGAAGAACGAAGCTGAGGTCAACTGAGCATCATCCAGAACATGAGATGTGGCAGCCCTGGCCTCAGCAAGACAACCCAGCCCCACCAGGCAGCCACAAGCATCCTCCTTTTCCGCCTTGCAGAGGGGAAGCCAAAGCAAAGTGAAATGGCTGGTCCAAGTCAAAAATAGAACCCAAAGCACCTGACTCCGACGCCTCTGCTTCGACTGTTACTGCACTGCCTGTAAAAAAAATCCAAGCTCAAGTCACTGCTTCGCAGTTCTGGATACAGGATTTTTTGTCTCCTCTCTAATCTGTAGTTGCCTAGGGAGACAGTACGTCCCCCGGAGAAGAGCTAGATGAGAAGGTGCCTACTGAATCAGGCTCTGGGCTCCAATGGGAGGTCTTGTTTCTTCACCCAGCTTCACCCCCAGTTTGCCAGCTCTGCCAGTTCCTATCTTTAGGTCTGAGTTTCTTTCCTTACCAAAGCAGTGATGGAGCGATGGTGGTGACCTCCCTTTGCGAGTTCCAGAGGGACTAACGAGAAGCGTTAGATGCAGCCATGCATTTTGTAAGAAGGAATGTAAATTTAAAGCGGTTTTGAAAAAAAATCCTCTTTACTGTTTTAAGGTGCTTCAGGGTAGGATTTCCAATCTGTTATTGCTCAGAAGTTAAACCCTCTCATTTTTGACCAATTGCACAATTTTACGCTGAATCTTCTATATGCTGATTTGTTCTCATTACAAAAACTTCCATATAAAAGTTTAAATTACAGCCCTATGTCTACATTACGACAAAGAAGGTCAGCAAGTCTGGGGTTATATTTTGCCTGCCAAATATACAGCTAAGTGCTGTTTCCCATCTTCAGTTGGGTGCTGTTTCCCATCTTCAGTGGTACAGCTAAGTGCTATTTCCCATCTTCAGTCTCAAATCGTTGCAGGACGGGGGCCCAGGATTGACACACAACATTGCAAGCTGGCACGTTCCTCATTGCCTCTCCATTTCAGCAGCAGCAGTCTTGAATTTTACAAGCGTTTTTGTTTTCTTCTTGAGAACTCAGTCATCCCAAGGGCTCTGTGTGCAATCACATATTGTAATGACTGCTATATTTTATATAGTAGTGACTTGAGGCGTCCTGCGATCCGAGGCTGCCGTGCCAAGCTCCCTGAAGAGGCAGACCTGCACACCACCGAGTCAGCACTCGTGCATTCTGCAATGCTGATGCAAAACTGAGAGGAGAATCGAGCCCACTGGCTTCAATAAGATGAAGCTGGAAAAATTTCACAGCTCTTAAGTCATTTCCTTGAATCATTTTGACAGATCTGCCTCTCTGACTAAACTTTCTCAGGGGAATTTTCAGGGAGAGAAAGAAAGATCATCCAGGGACAGAGCACTCACGGTGATGTGGCTAAGTACCCATAGACTTGAATTTGTGTCTTTGCTGTCAAATGCGCTCCCACAAAGGTATCCCTCAGCTTTTGTTGTACCTGCTTCTCCACAAACAAAGCTTCAGGATGAAAATAAATGTTGAAATCCCATCATTCTGCAGAATCATAGAATCGTTTGGTTGGAAAAGACCTCTAGATCAAGTTCAACCGTACCTGTCCACCACTAAACCCTGTCCCCAAGCACCTCATCTGCCCGGCTTTTAAATCCCTCCATGGATGGGGACTCGACCACTTCCCTGGGCAGTCCGTTCCAGTGCTCGACAACCCTTTCTGTGAAGAAATTTTTCCTAATGTCCAATCCAAACCTCCCCTGGCACAACTTGAGGCCGTTTCCCCTTGTCCATCGCCCACTCCCTGGGAGCAGAGACCGACCTCCCTGGCTCCCCCCTCCTGTCAGGCAGTTATAGGGAGTGATAAGGGCTCCCCTCAGCCTCCTCTTCTCCAGGCTGAACACCCCCAGCCACTCCCCATCAGCCTTGGGCTCCAGATCCCTCACCAGCTTCGTTAAATGGCACTGCTATTCCCCAATCACCATTTATTCATTCACAGGGGCTGCATGCAGGCAAACAACCCTGCACTGACAATCCCAGACACGGAGAAGCACAGGAGACACTTAAGTTTCAGCCTATGAATATATGAGGTCTTGTTAATTTTTCACAGGTGAGCAGAGCCATGACTTTCAGTTAAACCATTACGTGTAGGAAGCCGATATGCAATCTCTGACGTTTCTGGGCTATCACAGTTGCCTGATAAACCTCTTGCTATATACTACCCTCCTATTTGATGGATATGATATATATTTTGTTTTGAAAAGTGGCTTCTCACAGACAGTCAAAACTGTCTCCACTTGACTGATCCATTATTCTGATTCGGAAAGTATTTGCATTAGCTGTTGGGATCACTAAAAAGCTTCACAGCTGTTTTCTTTTAAATTATCCTGACAAACTGAAGCATTACACAGACAAAGTAACGTAAAAACCAAGGGAATACTCACACATGCAT